CTCAAACTCACGAACGGTGAGATAATGACCTGAGCCGAAGTCAGACTCTGAACCGACTGAGCCACCCAGGCGCCCCTGGGTCTGCACTTTAAACCTGGTGCGTTCAACCTTGTCTACACAGGACTGGCCTGGGGTGCAGCCGCTTCCCAAGGGGATGGGGGGCTCTGTGTTGTGTTTTGTGGCCTCTGGCCAGTAAGCTCAGAGGACAGCAGCAGGATATGGAAGGTCAGTCACCCTTGATTTTCTTTTTTCTGGGAAATTATAAATCGTTAACTCTGAAGACAGAGACAGGAGCAGGCGTGTTTGGGAGCAGACAATCGAGTCTGCAGGTCAGCTGAGAAAAGTGTTCTCTAACATTTAGTGTTAGACTGAAAACAGTTCCTGGATGCTAACGTCCCTGGGGATGATTTTAGCATATTTATGGCCCCTTCTCAATTATCTGGGGTAGAAGTGTGTGTGTGCATGTGTGTGCATGTGCATACCCGTGTGCGCGCGTGTGTGTGTGTGCACATGAGATACCATCCCACACGTGTATATTCACACGTATGTGTCCTCTCCCCCCGACATCCCCATGCACTGGGGCCGGCCGCTGGGCTGCGTCTTCCACGGCGTGTCCTGGGTTGACGCTCCTGTCCCCCGTGCTGTGGTTTCTCAGCCATTCCCGCCACACACTTGGCAACCATTCTCCAGCAAGGTCCAAGCGAGGGGTCCTCGGGGACAGTCTCAGGGTGTTTTCTGGGGGGAGTGGGTGCTATTAACCTCTAGAGACCAGGGGAAGTGGGGCATGTAATGCATTCTGTGTCTTTTCTTAATAAAACAAGCAATTTTATGGCAAACCGTGTTGGGGATGAGACAGAGAGGAACCATTTTTGTTGTCCGACCTCATTTGGGGAGTAAGTTCCAGCAGAGAGCTGGCGTGTGAAGAGACAGACACATTTATTTCGGGTAATTTGGTCCCCAAATTACCGGGTTTCTAGACATAAATTCCAGATTGGTGATTACAAAGTCTGATGAAACAGCCCTAACCTAGAAGCACCGATGGACAAAATCTGGAAAGGCCGCTCTCAGGTCTGGAAGCCTTGTCATTGTGAAAGAAAGAACCAGAAGCTGAAGCCCGCCCGCCTCCCCGGGAGCCTTGGTCTCAGGGTCCGGAGTCCTGAGCGGGGCCCCCGGGCCTCAGCACGCGTGTCGGAATCATCAAGCCCGTGAGGCCGCCGTGTCACATCTGAAACTGTTTAGCTGCGGAAACCGAGAGGCGCACTTCAAAGCCGCCCGAGGCGATCCAGACAGACTCGCTGGCGGGTCGCCGCGAGGTCACACTCCACCCGATGGCGGGTCTCCGCCTTCCTGCCTTCCTCTCGTCAAAACAGAGTATGGGGGCAACGCTACCCCGGGTCCCGAGATGCGTGTGGGCGGACGCGCCCCCAGACCCCCAACCGCCTCGGATTCCTGGCAGGCAGGCGTGGGGGTTCTTCTCATTCAAAGAGCTTTGGAGGCAGGGGCCCTCATGGGACCGCGGGCCGGGGCTCCTGTCCCCCGCCACCCCTGCAGCCTCCTGCCCTGGCCCTCGTCCTCCCCAGGGCTCTGCACTCCTGACCCTTGACTTGGCCTCGCTCTCTGCCTTTCCCCACAAGGCCCGGGTCTGCGTGCTGAGCCCAGACTCCTCACCTCTTACCCCGTGTCAATCCCGCCCCGTGTCCTGAACCCCGAGAACCCGAGCGTGAGGCCCCACCACCCACAGTGCTCGCCGGGCCTCTGCCCTGCACCCCTCGGCCTCCCCTCCTGGGCCCGCAAACCCCCATCTGCCCTGTCACTCCACCGTCTTCCGCCACACGGTAGGCAGCTCCTTGCCTGGCCTCCCACCCGGCCACCCAGCACCCAGGGCGGCCCCCGTCGGCGGGATTAACCCAGGGGAGATGGTCCTGGGGGCTCCTGACGCTGCAGCCCTTGGTCTCTGGGAGTCCCGCGGCCGCTCAGCGGTGCCGATGGCAGGAGCCGCGCGCTGGTGGCTGAGAGGGATCCTTCCCGTCCAGCCACCCAAAGACCCTCCCTGCTCTGCTGTAGAGCCACCTGCTTCTCCTGTCATCACGTCCCCGACGGTCAGGAACCCTGCTGGCTGGTCGGCACCCCCAGCGCGGGGTGGAGCTGGTGTGAGCTGGGCCACGATGGTGGGGGGCAGGTGGTGTGGCCGTGGAGGGGCCGGGAGCCCCGGACGTGCCGGTGGGGCCTGCGAGGAGGGACCCCCCCTTGTTTCCGACTTCATGGGGATGCTTGAACAGCACCTTCTAGATGGTCGTGAGGGGCCACCCGGCATTTCGGGCCACCCTCCCCTGAGGGTCTGGGGAGCCCCAGTGGCTGTTATGCCAAGAGCATCTGGTTCTGGAAAATGCCAGCAACACACCTGCCCGGGGCCCCTCCCTCCCCTCCCCTGCCTCCCCCATCTCTGTCTTCCTCTCCCTCCCTACCCCCACCCCATCTGTCACCCTCGCCCCACCTCTCACCCCTGCCTGGACTCCCCATCCCACCTCCCTCCCACCTCTCTCCCAGTCCTGCCCCTCAGAAGTGGAAGCAGCCTTGACCTTACATTTGAGGAACAGGCCAACGTTTCCAGGACCCTAGAGGCTCCAGGGCTCCAGGTCGGGAGTCACGAGGTAGCTGTGAGGTGCACTGAGTGGACCATTCTGCCTTTTAAAAGTTTTTTAATGTTTATTTATTTTTGAGAAACAGAGAGAGACAGAACGTGAGCAGGGGAGGGGCAGAGAGAGAGAGGGAGACACAGAATCGGAAGCAGGCTCCAGGCTCTGAGCCATCGGCACAGAGTCCGATGTGGGGCTCAAACTCACAAGCTGTGAGATCATGACCTGAGCTGAAGTCGGACGCCCAACCGACTGAGCCACCCAGCTGCCCCTAGTTCTGCATTTTTTTAACACAGAAGAAGGGGCAGTTCACAGGGCAGCAGCTGGCAGGGGCGAGGTGGAGGGAGGCACGCGCCCACCGCTCACCGTGGGTCCCAGCAGCCCAGCCCTCCGTGGAGATGCTGGATTCTTGTCACAACAGAACGTGCTCAGGTCCTTGCTGTCACTCCTCTGGACTCAACACACAGCGAGCATCCGGGGGAGAACCCGGCTCTCAGGCAGGCCGAGTGTTGTCTTGGGGAGCACACACACAGCTGTCCCTTCCAGCCGACCTGCCCCCCGTTTCCGGTCGCAGCCTGGCTTTGAGGCGGAAGCTGAGCCTCCCCTTTGTGCTCAGGATGTTCTCACCGTGGCCTTGTGTTTACAGCAGACCCATGAGATCCTTCCAGAATGCTCAGCATTATTCCACAGAGAGCAGTTTTTGAGCCCACGCTTTAGCGGGTTGAGTAGGAAGAGGTCTTAGAAAAGCGGTTTTCCTCAGGTATTTCCAGGGGTGAGAGAAATGGGTTTCCAGGAAAGACAGACGCTGAAATCTGAAAAGTAGACTCCTCCTGGGGGGATTGTTTGCATAACCCCAAACCCCCACACCCACATGGCCTTGACAGGAGCTGGTCCCGGCCAGGACGTGCACGTGACCTCTCGGACCTAACACCACGGGGTGGCTGGCCCAGCGTGGCCACAGTTCTGGTGGCGTGGGGGTCCCCCACAGGAGAAGGATGCCTGAGAGAGGTCCCCCCAGGGGTGGGGGATGGCGTGGGGGTTCCCCAGGGGTGGGGGATGGTGTGGGCGTATCCCCAGGGGCGGAGGGTCCTGGGGATCCTTGGGAACATGTGGCTGGACCTTCTGGCTTTTCAGGGGAGGCCGGAAGCTTACTTTTTTCGTCCAAGCTCCCAGTGTCTCTGCACCCATGGGCAGCGGTGGGGGCATCTGGCAGGCCTCCCCTGAGGAGCTGGGTTCTCCTGGCCTCCTCCAGGGCCTGTCCGGTGAGGGGCCACTTGCTAGGGAGGACGAGGAGCTTAGGAGTCTGAGCTGGGGGTGGTCTCAGCAAGAGACGTGGCCTCTGGCGGGGAGCGAAGGGTGTGGGCAGGCTGTCGCCGCTCTGGCAGGGGCGGGGGCACCCTGGCGGGCTGGGGAGGGCGCTGCTGTGGGAGGTGGGCCCTTGCTGGGACTCCCAGAGGGGCAGATGGTTACGCCCTCTTCTTGATGGGACCCCGCCATCTGGGATTCGGCCCCTTGGGGCCCCCTGGGCAGGGCCCGCAGCACATCTGGCCAGGGGCTGAGGTGGGTTTGATGTGTCCCAATCCAAGCTCTCTGCCCCCCTCTTTAGCCAAAGCAGCACAGATTTAAGGGTGTCTGTGTAACGGGGACGAATCTGTCTGAAATCACCAGTCGCAGGGACAAGAATCGTCACTTCCCCACAAAGGCCCCTGGGAGGTTTGCCGGCTCCTGGGGTGGCTGGTTTCCACACCATCTTGGGGCCCTTTCGATTCAAGGAGGCTTCCCCGGTCACGTCTGGTGTTTCTTTCTCCACGTTGTTTGCTTCTGTGAATTATTTATGCAACTCCCCGAACTTCCATTCAGTAGCTTTCCTGCCGAAGCCGCTCGGATGTGCTGAGGATCTTTCCCCATTTTTCCGTAACTGGCCTTGAGATGGGCTACGGGGTCCTCTCACGCCGTCCGGCTGCCCCGAACGCCCTCCCCGCCGCCGCCGCCCTGGGCTCTGGCAGCCGAGGGGGAGGGCAGCCCGGCACCTGTGCCGGGCTGTCCTCTAACAGCAAAGGCTATGCTGCGGGCTCAGGCAAAGGCCATGCCACTCGACCCGGGCACGCGGGGCGCATTCTACGGCAGCCGCTGCGCACACAGGCAGCCACATCTTCCGGACATGGTGCAGTTGCATCCGCATGACCCCGGGGGGTGGGGGTTGCTTTCTGAAATCCGAGGCTCAGTGAGGTGTGGAGAGGTCATATCTCTCAGCCGAGAGCAGATGACAGCCCGGGAGGCTGGCGTCCGGTTCCGGTGCCCAGGGCTCGTGCCTGGGTCTCTGCTGCTGAGCTGTGTCATCTGGCTGTCCTGTTGCTGTTGTAGGAGCTGCTCAGCGGGGACCTGCAGGAGGGACCTTTCTGGGAGGACCAGCGTCCCCTAGAGGGTAAGTCTCCTTCCCCGAACCTCATCGATAAGCCTGACCCAGGGCACGAGCAGGAACTGCGCTCAGAACGAGCTGAGTCCCTGGTGACGGGACAGCCCGCTTGGCATGTCCCTGAAACCCGGGCCAACCCAGGGGGCTGTCGCAGGTGCCACTGTCCCCGGTCTGAAAGGCAATTTGGCCTTAAAATATACTTCGAAATAACCTTCTCTCGGGGCTCCCTGCGTGGCTTAGGGGACTTGGGTTTTGGATCTAGGGATGTGAGCAAAAGCTGGAGTCCCGAGGGCCTCTGACCTTTTATGTGTCTGGATCCCCATGAGCCGGCGTGCAGGTGGGATGGCCAGGCTTTGTATAAAAGCCATTTGGCAAACCCAGGGTCAAGTCTGGGTCTGACATCCTGTGTCAGCACAAGGCTGCCGGGAACGGTCAGCTGGGAAACGTTGACTGGCCAGAGTCCCGGCCACACGTCTGCATCCTCAGTGGGGTAGACCGCCCGTGGAGCGTGGCAGGTTATCATCAGATGTGCATCGTGTGGGGTGTAAGGAGGCTCACCAGCAAGGCTGCCTTCAGAGGGGCTCCGAGACCCTCCTAGCTGGGGGCTCAGGCCCTGAGCACGCCCCCCACTCCCACCAGCATGGACACCTGCCAGCAGGTGCTAAGCCAGGACAGGCCTGAGCTCCTCTCCCAGAGCATAAACGAGCCCGGAAACGAGCGCTTGACTCGTTTGGTGACTGGGTGCTTCCCACTGGCGCTCAGCACACAGGCATCCCCTGGGTCCTGGAGTCCAGGGGAAACTGGACCCAGTAGATGGGGAGAGGGGGCATCCTGGGCCGGGCCCGGATGGTGCTCCTGCCCCCCTCGGGCAGGGACTTCCCTGGCCTGGCCTGCGGGGGGCCTCCTCCCCGGGGCTCCAAAGTCACTGCTGCCAGGGGTGCGGGGGGCAGAGGCAGGAGGGTGCAGCTGGTTAACCCTGGTGAGGGCCGCCCCGCCCTCCTCACAGGTCCCTGGCGCCTCCTTGGGGGGTGGGCTCTCAGCTCGGACCCTGGTGGAGGGGACCAGAGGCTGGCAAGGACTCCAGGGCTCCCTGGCCACACCTGCCGTATCCCTCTGCCCCACCCGGAAAGGACCCTTCCCGGCCCTCTCCTCCCTCCAGTGGCAGTCACCCCTGAGAAAGCCGAGGGCCGAGGCAGCACAGGACAGCTCTTTGGCGTGCTTGATGGAGAGAAAGCAGCAAGCCGCGAGGGCCCACGAGGGCTGGGCAAGAGGCACCTGAACATCGATGTAGGTCTTTGCTCCTCCCTGCCTGCCAGGAGGTCCTGGGCCGGGATGGTGCCCCCCCCCCTCGGGAGGTCCTGGGCCAGGAGGTCCTGGGCCGGGATGGTGCTCCCCCCCTCGGGAGGTCCTGGGCCAAGATGCTGCTCCCCCCTCAGGAGGTCCTGGGCCGGGATGGTGCTCCCCCGTCAGGAGGTCCTGGGCCGGGATGGTGCCCCCCCCTCGGGAGGTCCTGGGCCAAGATGCTGCTCCCCCGTCAGGAGGTCCTGGGCCCAGATAGTGCTTCCCCCCATCAGGAGGTCCTGGGCCAGGATGGTGCTCCCCCCCCTTTAGGTGCCCCCCCCCATCCCAGGAGGTCCCGACTTATGGTTTGTGCCTGCCCGCCTGGAGTGGGGGAGGGGCTGGTGTTGGAGGGCAGGCAGGGCCCAGGGCCCAGGCCCCCCTGTGTGGCGTGAGGACGATCCTGCCTGCCTCCTTCTGTCCCGTGTGCCCTGCAGGCGCTCCAGTGCGACGTCTCGGTGAAGGAGGACAACCATCAGGAGTGGACGTTCACATTCTATGGTTTTGACAACAATGGCATAGCCACCAGGGAGGTGAGGTGCCAGGCGGCCCCCGGGGAAGGCTGGGACAGCAGACACACAGAGGTTGCCCCCTCCCCGCCTGCCCTCTCAGAGCCCTGCCCTGCGGGGGGGGGGGGGGGGGGG